TGTGTGTGTGTGTGTGTGTGTGTGTGTGTGTGTGTGTGTGTGTATAATCTTATTTTTTTGAAAAGACATCTTTAAATCTGGCAGTTTATACACGCATATATAAATCTTTATCATTGAAAGTAAAGACGTTTTAGATATTTTTGCAAAAATACTTAAAACAAGTGCAGTGCAGTTTATGTTTTGATACCCGAAAAGATAGGCAAGGGTAAATAAACACAAACATGTAATGTTTCTTTTTTATTATTTTATAATCCAGTTTTTGGCCTTCCCCACAGATTGTTTCCATGCATATCTGGAAGTAGGTGTTCACTTAATTTCCTCCAGATTTCAGATTTTCTTCAGCCATTTTACGTGAGCTGGAAGGAGGGAGATTTATAGAGGGTGAACGCATTTACAGAGTTGTGCAATTTCATTGAAAATACGTGAGTGGAATGTCACGGCTGCACAATCGCATACATACTGGACTCAGTCATATATGTGCTTGGCTTCGTTTGTCACCTCGCAGTCTTCTGCTGTACTTAAATCCACATCTGAACTCCCAACGTACTGAACTGTCCATGTGGTTTTGTTCTTGTTTAATGTCAAACGTGGCAAAGGTGTTCTGACTAAGCGAGTCGTGAATGAATCACTGTTCTGCTATTTCATATTATGGAATGAGAAAGAGTAAATCTACCTCTCTAGTTCTGAGAGCATGTTTTCGCCGTCCTTACATTCTCCAGAATGCTTTTTCTCTTTAAGCTGGAGGCAACAAATGCCAAAATCTGTATTCTGTGTGAAACTATGTGATGTAAATAGTAGTTATTTATATTTTTACATTTATATTCATATTAAAAATACTTTTGAAAAGTTGTATTAAAGAACTGTTATGTGAAATAGTTTATTACGGTGTTATTTTACTTTGTGGTAACCTGTGTTGTGAAGTAAGTAACAGTAGCTTTTATTAGGAAAAGTAAGTAGCAGATGCTACTAACTTACTGTAACTAAATTTCTGAGTAATGTGAAAGTTTAGCTGTTTTCAAACTGGCAAGATTGTAATGTCTCACTTGTATGTAGCATTAGGAAGTCTGACTCTTTTTAGTGAACAAGTTTGTTTGAATGCTTCAAACGATTCATTGGTTTGCTGATCTCAGTTATGCAATATTAGTTTTGTTTAGTGTAAATTGATCAGTTTAGGGTAATCATATTACACAAATTGAGTTTTACACTAATGTATCCATTGTTTCAGGTTATCAGGTGTAAATATATTCAATTCAAGTTTATTTGTATAGTACTTTTCACGATACAAATCGTTGCAAAGCAGCTTTACAGAAAATATTAAGTTTTTACATTATATTTAGGAGTAGGTTATTAGTGGTGACTATGGCAGAAATGTACAGTAAGAATCATGCAGTTAGTTACAAATTACACGTAATCAAACAGACGGTGAGCATTATTTTTCTGTTTCAGAACATTCCCATTATGTTAGGAACAAAATTCTAAAATGGAACGTTCCCTTAATGTCCGTGTAACCACAAAAGAAACGTTTTTAAAAGACTGGATGTTTTGAACATTCGAAGAACATTCAGAAATAATGATTTCATACTTAATGGATGAAACAAATACTGGAAATATTGTTAACTGGGTAGCAAGCAAATTTTAAAGTAGACACTAGTTTAAGAAGAACAATTACGTTCTGGGAAATGTAGAAGCAATATGCCTAGCCTATATGTTCAAATCAGGGGGGTTTGTGTGGAAAATTGTTATAGCTTCACCCTCCAGCTTTTGATTCTCGTAGTTCTATAAGGAACTCTGGCCCCTGCGGGCAGATCTATAAATATCTTCAGAGCGAGAGAGAGAGAAAGTGAGTGAGTCACAAGGCTTTTCTCTTTAAAGGCTGGCTTTCTCTGTATGAGTGCTCATGAACGGGAGGTATTTTGAAAAATCGTAATTAAATTTGAGCTTTGAACATTGTTTTGTTTGGCTGTTGGTGTTCGCTTCACCGCAAGGAAATAATACTGATGCTTTTACAAGTTTAAATTACTGAAGCTGACTTTTTTTTTAACAGATGAAGATGTTTTACCAACCTAATCAAGCAGCTGTGGAGTTTAACACTAATCAATAGCCAGAAATTCCTGGGTTTCTGCAGGCATCTCAGGCAAGACGTGTTAAATCTGAGATAACTGATTTGGACGTCACAGCCACGGCCAATGGAAAAACAATCTCAATCTGTAAATCCAAAAGCACGTACTGATTAATCCTTCCAGTCAGCTGATGCGCTCCAGTCAGACACACCATCTACTGGGCGCATATGAACAATCATTACACTTTACTAACCAGTAAAAATATCTTTTGCTCTCTCATTTGGTATATATTATTATTATTATTTTTTTAAAAAGGCTGCATTTATTTATTAAAAAAGTTTTATATTGTGAAATATTATTAAAATTTAAAATAACCATTCCTTTTTGAATATATTTTAAAATGTAATTTATTCCTGTGATCAAAGCTGAATTTTCAGCATCATTACTCCAGTCTTCAGTGTCACATGATCCTTCAGAAATCAGTCTAATATGCTTATGTTATTTTTATTTTTTTTATGGAAACTGATACATTCCCCCCCCCAAATATTAGAAAACAATATTATTTATAAATGAGTTAGTCATAAATATATATTTAATATTAGATTGAATATTGATCAAAAATTACATGAAAGACATATACAATGTTGCATATACAAATGTTTTAATGATTTCTTTTTCTATAAATTGTTTTAATGTGAAACAAAAAATGAATGAATTTAATGGTAAAAGACTGTAAAAATGCTACAGTAAAAACATGTTAAATGGTTAACGGTAAATTCCCCTACTATATACGGTGAAAAACTGTATTGGACATTACATGTATTGGACATTAATTTTACGGTAGTATACCGTTTTTGGAAGTGAAAAAGATACGTATAATTTACAGTGAATA